TGCTGATGATAATGCTGATGCTGATGCTGATGCTGGTCCTGCTGATGATGATGCTGATGATGCTGATGCTGGTGCTGCTGATGCTGATGTTGATGATGATGTTGTTGATAATGATGTTGCTGATGATGATTGTGATGATGATGATGCTGATGATGATAATGATGATGCTGATGATGATGATGATGATGATGATGATGATGATGATGATGATGATGATGATGACGTTGATGATGATGAGCACGAGATCGAAGTGACGCTTAAAACACATTGACGGTCATGCGTCACTCGCGCACACCTTGGCGTCTACCTGGATATCTCTCGATTTAGCGGTGCCAGGTCTTCTGACCAACGTAACGTTGGCATAGACATCATAGACATCCATTATGATGGTTCGTGGCAGATGAGGAACACAAGCGCAACGACGGTGCCCAGATGCGTGAAGGGCCTCTGTCGCGGGCACGCGCCAGCTCTCTTGGACAAGTATACGGCTGTGTGCCTCGTTACTCGGTTGCGCTGCCGCGTATGCCAGCCGCCGCAACGTGTTGCCGCGCTGCCGCGCATACCGTGCGCACTGTAATGGGGCTGCTCGGCAACGCCGCGGAATTGGACTGCTGCAGTGTCGCACGGCGGTTGCAGTGCGATGATGCGCACAGCAGCGAGTCACGGTGTTGCCCGACCAGAGCGAGCAAGACCGTCGGAAGGAAGTCGCAAAGCAGTCCTGCGGGTGTTGGGGTTACCCGCGAACGGGGGAGTCTCGGGCCAGTCTGGAGACATCTTAGGTCCTGGTGCCTGTCGTGGTGCCGTTCTAGGGCTCTACGGGGATCTGCGGGGGTCTCTCTGGGCGCTGAGGTGGAGTCGGGGCTTTGGACGCGCTGGGATGGATGGAGGCCTGCAGGAGGGAATTTGGCCCGCTTGGGCTGGCTTTGTGGCGCCTTCAGATTCCCAGGAGGGCCTGCTGGCGAGGTCCCGGTGGGGGCTCACGAGGCTTGCAGCACGTCGGAGTCTGGATGGCAGTCGGGCACAGTGCCCTCACCAGGGGAGGGGCGAGGTACAGGAAAACAGGCAGAGCAAAACGAAACACAAAACAGAAAATACACCAAACGAGGGCGGGGGGGGGCGGGGGCCGTTATCGTAGCCGTCGTGGGCAGTCCAGCGGTCGTCCGTGGAGGCGGCTCACGGCCGGCGGACTGGTGCGGCCTTCCAGGGCGTGTCGCGCGGGCGCCCAGAGCCTGGTGCAGGCTTTGGGGCCCGTCCGGAACGCTGCCCGGCAGGGACCGTGCCGATTCGATGTAGGTCCGATGGGTTGTCGCTTTCGGCCAGGTTCGATCGCATTCGGGCCCGGTATTCCCACGACCCGCGGTGCGTCCCGATGAGTGCGCACGGCACTCCTGAGCGCCCCACCGCGGCCGCATTCGAGTCGATTCCGACCCGCGCCGACGCGGCACGATGCAATGCCAGGCCCGCTCCGACGCAGGTCCTCGATTCGGAGTGGACTGATCCTGCCTTGGGGGCGGTGAGTGGGCGCGCGACATTCCCCCACAGGGGCGCGATAGCGATGCCGTGCGGCGCGCTCTGCGGTCTGCGCCAAAAGGGGGCTGTTCGTCGGCGTGGGGGGCGCGGCTGCGCGAAGATAGAAAGGGCGCTTCGCGGAGGCGCGGCCCGGCCCGCGAAGGTGAGGTGATCTGGAGGCAGTGACGGGTCTGCAGCGGGAGGGGAGTAGGTGGCACGCGTTGCTAAGCAGGCTTGTCTCTTGGTCGGGGGGGGGCTCACCTCTTCTTCGGTGCGCTCTCTGAAGTCGCAAGCTAGGGCTTGGCTCGCGCCTAGCGTGCGTGTGCGCTCTGGCGGACACGCCCCAGGCCACACGGACGGGCCACGGCAGGGGCGCAGACTGTGCTGTGTGCGCGTGAGATTGCCGCACGATGTATGTCTGTATGTTCGCCGTGCATGTTCGGGAGTGCAGGGAGCCAGATGATCAAGACATTGATGCTGAAAGATTCCACCGGCTCGAGGAGATCTACAGGACGGGGAGGGTGCCGAGGGGAGGCTGTCGGCGGCCGGTGTTTGTCCGATGTGTGTGTGTGTGTGCTTCGGCATGCGGCGGCAGCGAACGACGTCCAGACATACCTTGAGATCTGCGTGGGAGGGGAGGAGGAGGAGGAGGAGGAGGAGGAGGAGGAGGAGGAGGAGAAGCAGGAGGAGGAGCAGGAGGAGGTGGACGGGGGGGACGAGGGGGCGCGGGACAAGGGGGATGGGAAAGGGCGAGGGGGGGTAGCTGGAGGGGGAGGCGGAAGGGGAACAGGGCGAGGGGGAGTGGATGAGGCGAGGGGCGGAGGGGAAAGGGGGCGAAGGGAGGAGCTCAAGCTAGGGGCGCCCGCGCCGCATCTGACATCCTACCCCTTCCACCCATTCCCATCGCTTTGAGTATTTCTCAATCTCCACCAACGGGTGTCCTAGCGGGCCTGGAACACCCAAAAGGACCCGAGGGAAGGATGGGGGCGGGAAAAGGGGGAGGGGAACCAGGGGAAGAAGGGCTATTCTTCCTGGCGAGTTCGGGCCTGCGTGGGGGCCGTGGGGGTCTCGGGGCCGTGTTGGAGTGGTGTTCGATTGCGTTGGAGCCCTTGGCCCTGGCCAGTTTCTGCCTTCAATGGCCCTCTCGCGCCGGCGCCGGCAACCTTCTAGCGCGGCGACAGCACCCTCGAGGCCCCTCCCAGCATCGTCGCTTCTCATGGCGGCCTTCGCTGCAGCGTTCCCTGTGGAGGCCTCCTGCCCGGCGTGGGCCTCCTGCCCGGCTGGCGACGCCAATCCTCGAGCGGTTCTCTTCTGGTCTTGGCCGGCTCTTTCCGAGGCCCCCGCCGCGGAGTTCTTCGGGGAGGCCTTCGATCGGGTCGGGTCCGTTTGTGGAGGGCTGCCTGCGTCAGTTCGCCAAATTCTCTTTCCACATTCTCCTCCTCCTCCTCCTCCTCCTCCTCTT